GAGCAGGGAGCCCGATGCGGGACTCGATCCCGGGACTCCAGGATCATGACCTGAGCCGAAGGCAGTCGCTTAATCAACTGAGCCACCCAGGTGCCCTATTTTCATTTTCTTAAGTTAATTATCTTGATTTTATTTATGCTTATGTCATATTTTTTCAAGTATGCTAGCAATATAACATTATTTATATAGTAAATAGTAACATATGAAAAAGTTACTTGTAATTTTACCAACCTAACAAGGTAGTCTTTTTTGTAATTGCTTATATATATAAAATAGGCATGATCATGGGGTGGCCGCCTGGCTCAGTTGGTGGAGTATACAACTCTTGATCTTGGATTGTGAGTTTGAGCCCCACGTTGGGTGTAGAGATTGCCTAAATAATTCTGTTAAAATGGGCACGGGGCACCTGGGTAGCTCAGTTGGTTAAGCGTCAGACTCTTGATTTTGACTCAGGTCATGATCTCATGGTCGTGGAATTGAATCTAGGTCAGAGTCCGCTTGTCTCTCTCTCTCCCCTTTTGCCCCTCCATGCGTGTGCATGCTCTCACTCTCAAATAAATAAATAAGTAAATAAATAAATACAAATAAAATAGGCATGATCTATGTGTACGTAAGATTTTTATATATTCTTTTATTTTTTTAGTTATTATGGTATAATGTAATAGATATCTGTTCTCAAGTGGATAAACTATATTTCAGATGGTTATTCTACTTTTGTAGAACTTTTTGCTTCCATTTTTTTATTTTTAAATTTTATTTATTTATTTTGAAAAGATTTTATTTACTTAATTGACAGAGCAAGAGAGCACAAGCAGGGGGAGCAGCAGAGGGAGAGGGAGGAGCAGGGTTTGATCCCAGGACCCTGAGATCATGACCTGAGCTCAAGGTAGATGCTTAACTGACTGAGCCACCCAGGTGCCCCAACTTCCAGTTTGTTTGTAAAGATTTATTTAATTTATTTTTTAGAGAGAGAAAGTGAAAGTGGGAAGAGCAGAGGGAGAAGGAGAAAGAGAATCTCAAGCAGACTCCACGCAGAGCACAGAGCTTGGGACTTGATCTCACAAGCCTAAGATCATGACCTGAGCCCAAACCCAGGAGTTGGATGCTCAACCAACCGTGCCACTCAGGCACCCCTGCTTCCAGTTATTTGTTTGTTTTTTTTCCACAGTTCCACAGAAAGTAGTTTATTGCTTTTAGAAGAAAATAAGATGTTTTCAGAACTTTTATTAGTGAAGAAAAGCTGTTAGAACTTGAAATCTTTTCTAAAACATTATTTGGAAGCTGATAGAAAGCTTCTCACTTGCAGCCTGAGCTGTCCGATTAGACACAGCTAACTGCTTGGAAGCAGGGCTTGTGTTTGTGGCTGGTGTACCAGGTGTCAGGTCTGACCTCCTTGCCCCAGTGCCTGCAGTGCTCCTTCTCCAGCACCTGCTCATGGCTCTTCCTCGCCACCCCGCACCTTGCCGTCCAGTATGGACCCTGTCTAGGTGTGTTTGTTAGGTGTTGCCTATGGGAAGGCAGGGGGCCAAGCTACTTTTGGGGCAACACAGGCCAGGATCAGCTAATGAGAGCCTGGCACTATCTAAGGACAGCCAGAAGCCCCATGCCCAGTGCTGCCATTTCAGACGCTAGTCTGCTTGTGGGGTCAGCATGACTGATATAGATCAAGTGGGGACTCCCAGCAACTACAGATGTCTAAGGCAGGAAAACAAGACTGCCAGCTTGTGGCAGCTCCAACAATGATCCTCAAAGGCTGATCTTGACCTCTAACCCTGGCTAAGGAGAAAAGGGACCCCCACATAGCCTCATAGGAGAGAGGCCCTTCAAATTTTTTACTTATTTACTCACTTCATGGTAATTTAGCAAGCTCTATGTCGGGCAGTGAATAGAATGCTGTCCTGCCCACTTTTGTTGTCTTCAGGGGAACAGATCTTCTTAGGGGGACAGAGGGACCTGCTTGTGGCTAGAGTGGCCTGGTTTTAGAGGAATGTGAATGGGGCTAAGGGAAGGAATATGTATAGGCCCGGGGAAGGATGAGCTTGGTCAGCCTGGGGAGGTGGGAAAGGCTTTTCAGAAAAGGTGAGACTGGAGCCATAAGTAAAGCTACAGCAAACATTTGGGCAAAAGAGTTTTTTGGGGGTGGAGTATCAGTGCTATATGATCAGTTCTCAGGGTTGGATAGCTAGGTCCCTTTGGGTGCAGATGACTACACAGAGAAATCCAATTGTCCTTGAGTCACAGTCAGATAAGTTGGCTACCTTGAATGCCTTTCCAAACAGAAATACAGAAAATCAACAGCCCAGCCTGTGATCTTCAGGTTGTAAGTATTTCTACAAATGTTAAGCCCTTATTTGGTGTACTGATAAATGCTTGTAATTGAGGGTGATGAATTCTGGATTAGAGTTTCATATACTCTAATTACTAGCTGAGTTTACTTGGTCAAGTTACTTTACTTTTCCCAGTCCCAGTTTGCATGTAGGCAAAATGGGGAATTATATAATTGGATTCTGTGGATTAGATAGGATCATTCCTGTGGAAGAATTTGTATTCCGTATTACTAGGAAAGTACAGCCACTAGTTTTCTTCTTAATTATGTCTACTATAAAAATGAAAACATTATAGGGGCTCCTGGGTGGCTCAGTCGGTTAAGCATCTGCCTTTGGCTCATGTCATGATCCCGGGGTCCTGGAATGGGGCCTCTCATAGGGCTCCCTGACCACTGGGGAGTCTGCTTCTCCCTCTCCCTATTCTCCTCCCCCCTGCTCATGCTCTCTCTCTCTTTCAAGTAAATAAATAAAGTTAAAAAAAAAAATGAAAACATTATGGCCAGCTTATAAGAAGTTTTAGGACCAGACGTCTAAAGTTGTAGTGCTGCAATTCATGGATTATCTAACTTAATTTTCCACTTAACAGTACCGTGAGATATGGGTGCTATTATTTGCCTCATTTTATCAGTAAGACAGGAGACTCAGAGAGATGAAGTCATTTGCCCAAGGTCACACAGGGTTAGGACTGGGATTTGAATCCAGATAGACTGAGTTCATAGCCTTTCTGAAATAACCAGAATTCTCCAGAGTGTTTGTTTCTGACTCCTAAATTTTAAATAAATAAATAAATAAATAAATAAATAAATAAATAAATAAATATTTTTCTCTCCCAACTCCTACATTTTATTTTTAAAAATATTTGTTTATTTTATAGAGAGAGCTCTTGTGTGCTAGTTGGGGAGGGCCAGAGAGAGAGGGAGAGAGGGAATCTCAGGCAGACTGCCCGCTGAGTGCAGAGCCTAATGTGGGGTTCCATCTCAGAACCCTGAGATCATGACCTGAGCTAAAATCAAGAGTCGGACACTTAACTGACTGAGCCACCCAGGTGCTCTGACTCCTAAATTTTTTTTTAAGATTTTATTTATTTATTTGATAGAGAGAGACACAGCAAGAGAGGGAACACCAGCAGGGGGAGTGGGAGAGGGAGAAGCAGGCTTCCCGCTGAGCACGGAACCCAATGCGGGGCTGGATCCAGGAACCCCAGGATCATGACCTGAGCCGAAGGCAGACGCTCAACGACTGAGCCACCCAGGCACCCCCCTGACTCCTAAATTTTAAAAAACATATTCTGATAATGTTCATATGAATTCCTAATGCAGAGGACTGGACATTTAATTGGTTAGATATTGACATTGATTGCTTTGAAAAATAATGGAGAATTTGTTTTATTATCTTATTATCTTTAGTGGTTTTGTTTTCACTCTGAGAAAGTGATTTGTTTACATTACAATAAGTAGTATTTCTTCAGGGTGGAGCCACATATTGAGCTTTTAGTTTGTTGAGGTAAGATATAGTTGTGGGGGTTAGGGTCTAACTCTTTATCACTTATTTCCTTTTGATTTTTTTTTTTTTAAAGATTTTATTTATTTTGACAGAGAGAGATACAGCGAGAGAGGGAACACAGCAGTGGGAGTGGGAGAGGGAGAAGCAGGCCTCCCGCGGAGCGGGGAGCCCGATGCGGGGCTCGATCCCAGGACCTGGAATCATGACCTGAGCCGAAGGCAGACGCTCAACGACTGAGCCACCCAGGCGCCCCTCCTTTTGATTTTTAACTTGTGATTCCTTGGATTATTTGTTCTTATTTTGGAAGGGATCCTAAAGTAAATGAGGTTCAAGCTTTTTATTATGAAATTTTCAAACATAATGAAAAGTTGAAAGAACAGTATAATAAACACTGTACCTTCCACCTGTATTCACAGATTGTTAACATATTTACCCAATTTGATTTATATACTTTTTATAATGTAATTAATCATAATTAGCAATAATGTTACATGTAGTATCTAAACCATATTCAAATTTTCCTCTTGTTCCAAGAATGTCATTTTTCAAAATCGAGATCAGTCAAGATTGGCACATTACTTTTTTTTTTTTTTAATGGCAGAGAATCTACTTTTATTTTATTTTTCTAAGTTTATTTTTTTAGTAATCTCTACACCCACCATGAGGCTCAAACTCAGCATCCTGAGGTCACAAGCCATATGTTCTTCTGATTGAGAGCCAACCAGGTGTCCCTACATTTTTTTTTTTTTAAGATCTTATTTATTAGAGAGAGAGTGAGAGAGAGAGAGAAAGAGAGAGGAAGCATGAGCAGGGGCAGAGGGAGAGGGAGAAGCAGGCTCCCCACTAAGCAGGGAGCCTGACGCAGGGCTCCATCCCAGGACCCTGGGATCATGACTTGAGCTGAAGGCAGACACTTAACCTACTGAGCTGCCCAGGTGCCCCAATTTATTTATTTTTAAGAGTTCTGAACAGTTGTTTTATAGAATATTCCACATGCTGGGTTGGTCACATTGTTTTCTCATGGTGAATTTCCCTTGCTTGTATTCTTTTTATATATTTCGTGTAAGCTGGAAGTTAGGTCTAGACATCAGAATTAACATTTGTTTGCAGAATGTTCCATTGGTTATGGTGTGTGTTTCATATTATATCACATCAGGGACACACAAAGGTAGGGTGTCCACTGTTCCATGTATCACTTAGATAAGGTGGTGATTGTCATCTCTCAACATTTTAAAGGTATATTTTTCTCTGTGGAAGTAGTAAATAATTTGTGGGGATGCTTTGGTACATGTCAGTATCCTATTAACCCACACCATTTACCTAATGATTTCAGCATCCGTTGATAATCCTTGCCTGAATCGTTATCACACAGGAAATGGAAGAACAGTGATTTTTTACCTCTGTCATTTGCTTTATATTAGCGCCATTCTTTTGCAAGAAGAGCTTTTTTTTTTTCCTTTTTTGTTTTTTAAAATTTTATTTATTTATTTGTCAGAGAGAGAGAGACAGAGAGAGAGAGTACAGTCAGGGGGAGTGGCAAACTCCCCACTGAGCAGGGAGCCCGATGCGGGACTTCCATCCCAGGACCCCGGGATCATGACCTGAACTGAAGGCAGATGCTTAACTGACTGAGCCACCCAGGTGTCCCTTTCTTTTTTAATTTTTAAGGATCACCAAAACTCAGATTATTTAGTGTGGTGTTGTAGTCAGATACATTAATTACTCTCTTTGGTGCTAAAATTATCTCAAATTTAGCTAGTGGGAGGCCCTTTAAACCGGGTTTTTTGTTCTTTTGACACACTTCTATTAGTCCTTGAGTATTTTCTTTTTTTCAGGCACTACTTAGAAGGCCCACATTTATTTTGCCCATGTCATCCTCCCTGGAGTCCGTCATTTTCCCAAGGAGCCTAATTCCTTTTAGGTGGAAGTAGTGTTTAGAAGTAAAGCTCTGGGCACTGGGTGTGTTTATTGCTGCTAGAATGTTACTGCTTTTAGGTCTTTTCAGTGGATAGAGCTAAGAAATAAAATTTTTGAGAAGTTGTGAGTTCATTTTGGTATTTCCAATTTAAATTTAATATTTTGTAATTTATATTTTGATTTTTTTTGCCTTTTCTCTTATTTTGAAAATCTTTATTTCTAAGATTCAATTTTTAATCAATCAATTAATTAATTAATTTTAGAGGGGGGTAGGGAGAGAGAATCTTACGCAGGCTCCATGACCCTGAGATCATTACCTGAGCTGAAACCAAGAGGTGGACGCTTAACTGACTGAGCCACCCAGGCACCACTGTGAGTTCCTTTTTAATACTCCTGCAGTATAATTTTCTACATTTTAAGTTATTTTTATATACATACAGTAAAATTCCTCCTTTTTTGGCATACATGCCTATGAGTTTTAACACATATATAGATTCTTATAAGCATCACAACTTACAGGATAAGGGGAACACCTAAAGAATTCGCTTATGCGATACCTTTGCCAGTATATAATTATTTGATTTTATTATTTTTTAAGCTTGTATTTATTTGTTAATTCATTTTATTTATTCTTTGAGAGAAAGAGAGCACACGAGTTCATGCTGCAAGTGAGGGGTGGAGGAGCAGAGGAAGAGGGAGAGAGAGAATCCTAAGCAGGCTCAGGCTCATTGCAGAGCCTGATGTGGGGCTTGATCTCAGGACACTGAGATCATGACCAAGCCGAAGTCAAGAGTTGTATGCCCAACTGACTGAACTACCTAGGTCCCCTAAGATTTTATTTTTATGTAATCTCTGTATCCAGTGTGGGGTTCAAACTCATAACCCTGAGATTGAGGGTCGCATGCTCCACTGACTGAGCTAGCCGGGTGCTCCTGATTATTTTTTTATTTATCTGTCTTTCCTACTAGAATGCAAGCTTAATTGAGGGCTGGTGGGGTAGATTGGGTTCTCTGAGAAGCAATGCAGTTGATTGATTTGGAAACTCCCCCATAGGGGGAAAGGGAGAGTGAGGGG